GGGGGGGGGGGTGATACACCCCCACACCCCCCGGGTGGCACGGCCCTGCTGCTAGGTATGTAAATCACGTTTCACGACACAAAAATCCGTCATTAATTTCACGAGAACAAAGGCAACAAACTGACTGGCAATTCACGGCTCACGAAAATACCCTTTACCACCCTCTTTGAATAATATTTAATAAATGATATTGAACACGAGACGACAGCCGAGTGTTTTATGTCTGATAAAGCACGGACTGCGATTGTTTTAAATGGCTTAAAAAACGACCCATCTTATGAGTTCATTGGCGAAGTAATTTTAAAAATCAACGTTGTCTGTAAGCCGAGAAAGTCAAAGCTTATCATGTATAAAACCACCGACACGGTAGTGATTCCTCAGTTGTCGTTTTCTTATGAATTACGTATTACTACTAAAATTATTTTTTACTGCTTGTCACATATAGTGTCACACATTATGACTTTATGCAAATATGAAAATAACAAATTACATGCTTAAAGCCTGGTTCACATATGCCTGCGACTGTATCATTATGCCTCTACTTGCCGCCGAAATACCGGCAAAGTTGAGCTCAAGTCAACTTTCCCGGCTTACCGCCGATGTAACTGAGGCACTGGAGGCAATCGGCGAACAAATGTTCACATAATTTACGTTTTAAAGCTACCACCGGTATCGTCGCCGGTACGTCGCAGGCATATATGTGAACCAGGCTTTATTTGTGTTTCCTGAACAGGGATTTTCAACACTGATTTACAACGAATAAGATGTTGTACTATTTACAAATTTTAGAATCTAAAATTTAAATTAAGGAAAAAAGATAAGACATTTGTATAAAGCTTTAACAAGGTAAATTATCTACTTATATATTTGTTCTAGCATGCTTCGCCTCAGTTCGTTTTTAAAAGTTTTTATTGAGTTTAACTTTTTGACTTTGTATACTTTTAATCGTTCTACAGAGTGCATGTAACGCCTCTATAGACTATACTGGAAAGCCTTTGGCCTGCAGAAGTTTTATACAGTGCATGGTATTTGCAATTTTGCAGTGAGTTCTGATAATATAAAGCCTTTGGCCTGCAGAAGTTTTATACAGTGCATGGTATTTGCAATTTTGCAGTGAGTTCTGATAATATTTAACAAATATCAAAATTTAAAAATACACTGAAAATGTATTTAGATAGCTGAAACTATATTTTATGTGCTATATAAAATACGAGCAGGTACAACTGCATGTTATGCTGATCATGACGATACCGCGGCGAAGATCGTTTCGTCGATTCCATCCCCGATGCTGCAGAACTCCAACTGGTCATCCACAAGTGTTACCAACTTTAACGAACTCAAGAAGTCCAGTGCAAATGTCTGAGTGTAACTAGAAAAATTTAGCCTATCACATTTTCCATACATGATCAAAGGCAAGGAACTTACAACAACATCAGTCGAGAAGGACCTGGGCGTCTGGATGCGAGTGATCCGACTTGGAATAAGCATGTTCTTGATTGCTGTGCAAGAGCAAACAATTAGCAACTTGGTTTTATTAGCTGTCTATCGTTAGCCCCGTCAGGGTTCGTAGCGGTCTTTGAAATCATTGAAAATCTTTAAATTTGAATGCAGGGGCCGGCCGGTTGTATAAAAAAAGTGATTAAAGTTAACTACAGGGTGTATCAAAAAAAAGGTAATCGAACTTCAGCGCGCTATTGTATCCGAATTACTCTGCGTATGAACGAGATTTTAACACATTCGGAAAGATCATGCTTTTAGCTGTTGAATGATATCTTCTTCATGCCAAATGGATAAAAAATGAGCAAATACGAATCCGATAAAAAATGTTAGTCAGAATCGCATATTTTCACCGTTGAGAGTTGGGTCTAAAACCATTGAAAATGAACTCCCTTTGGTACTTAAGTTGATGAATTTCACTTCATTAAACTACGCACATATTCATAATTATTATTAAGTAGGAATACATTTTAGCTAAGCTACGACACGTTAGGGATTAATTGCTTTTTCTTTTGTTATGCATTGTTTTAATTAGGCACAGAGGTGAAAATATGCGATTTTGACTAACATTTTTGATCGGCCTCGTACATGCTTATTTTTTCTCCACTTGGTATGAAAAGCATGTCATTCAATAGCTAAAAGCTGATCTTTCCAAATATGAAAACCAATTGTTCATATGCCGAGTGATTCACGTATAATAGCGCGCTGAAGTTCGATTACCTTTTTTTTGATACACCCATATAGTTAGTGGAAACGTCATCCAATAAGAAGCGCGTACGTATTTGAGAGTTAATCACTATATTTAACTACAAAATAGTGATTAAGAAAGTGATTAACGACTTACAGCACGGTTTTTGTCGTGGACTCGTGTTACCTAAAAGGCACGACATTTTTTATCCTAAAAGGCACGACATTTTTTATTCTATTTCTTTCACTTTCCATCCTTTAAGATTTCTATTTGCGTGTTGCAGCAGATGTTGCCTCATGTAGCATGGCCTTTACTGTTCATAGATTTCGATGTTTATATAGTTTGTTAACAAAGGCCCACGGTGATTGATTTTCGAATGCTGTTTTTAGGGTTTGTAATCCAAGTGAGTATATATACACTGTAAGACCTGACCAGGAACGACTGCGAAAAATGCAGCACAAGGTCCTGTGGTAGAAATTGAACCTACGGCCCTGCGATTCCGGTGCAGCGCTCTAACCAACTGAGCTACAGAGGCCAGCTGTTGAGCTTTAACCGTAAGTTCATGCATATATAGGTGATCGGGTGTGCGGGTTGTGATAACTGATAAGGTGGACTTCAATTAATGATCTTGTTTCTTGCACTTCACTTGGTGGTATATAATTTTCGAATGCTAGTATTGTCAGGGTGCCCCCGCCATTCGTTGTTAGATTCAGTGATGTACATGTTCTGCTGTTGTAATGTCATGTTTGTATGTACGTGTTGGCGAAATTATGTTTTCCATTACAGAGTCACATGCTCAGTGGTCATGTTGTTTTGCGTAAGAACGGAATCCGCGTCATCAGACCACAAAACCAAACTAACAGGATGTGGTAAACCCAAGCCAATGATTTTATTTGTTCAGTTGCATCAAGTGAGATATATATAGACATAGTTCATCAGTGCGTAGGTCCGGCAGTAAATGACGCCACATTGTCATTGGACATTGAATACATCTTTTCACCGGAAAGTCGTTACAGACACAGACAGCTCAGCCTACACGCAACCCGAAATTTTCACAGCTTTTTACCAGCTTTTTATTAATTTATACACGTAAACGTTACACGTAAATAATTGTACAGCTCAGTGGGGAACGGAACATGGTATGCTCAAGGTATGCTCTACTCTAGGGAATCCGTGAGAGAATTCCGGAAACGCGCGCTCGAACCACCCCACGCTCCGCCTTCCAAAATATAGAAGTTAAACAATCACGAAGATTTTGAATAAATTTGTTGCCGTCGAACAGGTGACTGTTTATGATATTGTATGAGAACCCTTATATAAATATACGCGGAAATTGATGTTTAATATATGGAAGAAACAGTCTTAAACCATGTTTTCAATGGTCTTTAAGCCAACAAAATCGCTCGTATGACGTATTGAATTGCTCTAAGTTGACCGGCCGGGCTCATCAATTCTTTTATGCTGTAACTGAACACCTTGTGAACGAAAGGTTTCATCATGTTGACAGATATGTGATAGATTTCGCTGTTTCGCAAGAATTTTCGAGAACGACATAAACAAGACTTGATATTGTAATTGGAAATGGCGCTTGATTTTTTCGCAGGTTCGATCGGAGGTAAGCAAACTAATAAATTTAGCTACGTGTGACGTATTGTGTAATATATAAATGTGTTTACACTTCAATAAATAACTTATTTTTTTATGAAGTGTATTTGTTAATCTGATTAAAACCGGCTGTATATCTCAAGATCCGATAACTCCAGAACATGGATTGATGCGTGCTCGTTTTTATTTTATTCTACTGGGGTCTAATTCATACAGTGTGTTAAATATTTATAAAGTACAATTATATATTATTGTTCTCTGTAAAAAATACAATTTCTGTCTGAAATGCAGGCGTTTGTTGTACAGCTAGCAAATTCTCTTATCTAGACGACCAGGTAGCTGATAAATTATTTGCAAATTGAACTATTGTCAGCATGATTATATTGGACAATACTATTTATATATAGCAAGTAGTGCGCAGTAAAGTCCAGCATTTTTCATGCTTTCATTTTCATTACTGGGTTAAATTACATAGATTCCACAAAGTGAAAGCTATTCCCGCCCTTCCTTAATAAAATTCCACAAAGCGAAAGCTATTCCCGCCCTTCCTTAATAAAATTCCAGAAAGCGAAAGCTATTCCAGCCCTCCCTTAATAAAATATTGGTGGGGGAGTCGCACCCCCCTGCTTTCTATGCCCTGGGAAGAAGTTTTGACTAATTTGGGATTTGAAATGTATTAGACTTTATAGGGGCCAACCATTAGAAAAATGGGGGGGGGGGGGGAAAGGGGATTCTCAGTTGCCACAAATTTTTTCTCCTGGCTGTCTGCTTGTGCTGGAATGTTTTTGCAGAATTTTAAAGATATTTTTCTTTAAAGGTAATGTCCACTCCTGTGTGCATGTGCGAAGTTTGTTTACGTTTTGAACTGCTATATATTTGTAAAATATGATATTACTAACTGAATATCTAACACTTTTCTGGTTCACTATGCTTGTAAATGAATATAAACTCTACGTTTCAATTCAAAAAAGTTTGAAAGATGCAAAACTTCGGCAATGTTTATATCTGGGGGTCCCCCTTTGTTATGAGTAGAACTGATGCGCAGAGCGGAGTGGAAATCATCTTTGATACTTTTTGTTTGTGGAAACTGGAAATTTAAAGATAGGGTGCACTTCGGTCTGTGCATGCGCACGTAGGAGTCTCCTGCCGTGATATAAACACTTTAATTAATTAGGTTTTTATTTCATTTTATGTTCTTGCAAAGCCTGATTGTTGTATCTTCATGATCATTTATTATACTGTAGAAGCATGAAAATTTAAATAGTTGTCAAATAAAGTTCAATATTTTGAATACTGAAATGTAAACAACTTTAGGCTTTGTTTCATACAGAGTGTACCCTACCTTTAATATATGGAAGAAACAGTAAATTTACGTGGTGTTTGCACAAACAAAAAGTATTATATGTTTTATTGCCATGCAAACCTACAAACTAGAACTTATATTTTTCTTTGCTTTCCTCTGCATAAAGTTTGTTTCTGTGATATGGCAAGTGAGAAAATTCAAAATAAATGTCCATTTACACTTGCAAATTTTTGCAGTGATTTCTTGTGCAATTTTCTTCTGATGCATATATAATTATGTTCAGTGTATTAATGAATTATGACTGTACAACTCATCCAATTTTGCCCTTCATTACAATTTATACTACAAAGTTTCTTTCAAAACATTGCTAAAAGGGTACTTAATTGACACAGAGATGAATGACCGTTACTGTTTCAATTTTACAGAAAAACTTAATTCTTACAAAGTGTAGACCCTAAGCAACCAAAAAATGTCAAATTTTCACTCTATCATTGAAACTTCTCCAAGTGGAGTGCATGACGTTTCAGGGTAGGTGCAAAAATTCTCGGGAGGTGCAAAACGATCTCAGGGGAGGTGCGCACCTCCCTTACACCTCCCCTCAAAATCCGGCCATGAATCACAGCAAAAATTGTAAGTGTAAATTGGCCTTAACCAGTTACTATCTGCCCATGCACCCTGTTAATTCTTTAATTTAATTGGCAATGTATGTGCCCTGACGAGTTCCAAGAGTCCTACTTTATTTTTGTTTTACTCTGTCTAATGTCTAACTCATCAAGGGGAGAGCACTAACATTCACTTAATGGGTTAACCAGACTGTCTGCCCATGTGTTAATAGATTGAAACAAATATTTTTTTTTGTAATTTCCAGGCGTAGCTGGTGTGATAGTGGGTCATCCATTTGATACTGTTAAAGTAAGATTTCTTGAGATGTTCATTGCTGTAAAATCTTTAAATCAACACTGACCTCAGAGGTGCTGGAGCATGCTCAAGGCCATATGGATGGTTCCACCAGAAATGACACTTTGAACCCAGTTTTATGCATCATAATGATGTGAAATAATGTGATTAAAATAGCTTTCTGGTCTAAGACGTATTAGCTTGCGGCATAGACAGATTTTTGTTTTGGAGGGATGAGGTGCACAGGTGCATGCAAAATATTTTGCACCCCCTCAGAAAGTTTTCCCACCTTTTTAGATATACATCACTTTTGTTATGCAACACATCTTTATATGAAGGGTATTAGCTTGCCCCCACCACCCTCCTGTGTGTGAAGGGCAGCCAGGCAACTGCTAAACATCTATGTGGTTGTAGCAACCCTGGTCACTCTCATTCAGACAGATTTTATATTTTATAGGTTCGATTACAGACCCAACCTTCCAGCAGTTATTCTGGAATGATACAATGTTTTTCAAAAATTGTCCGAGAGGAATCAGTAAGTGTTATTGATTGGGTAAATTAATTGTTATTATGGTAGTGTAAATCCTTTAATAAGTTCCCTTCTCTGTTAAGCTCCCCTCGCTATTACCTCCCATTCTAATGTGCCCCTCTCTAATTAAGCCTCCTCTCTATTAAGCCCCCTCTCTATTTAGTCCCCTCTCTATTTAGTCCCCTCTCTATTTAGTCCCCTCTCTATTTAGTCCCCTCTCTATTTAGTCCCCTCTCTATTTTGTCTCCTTTCTATTAAGACCCCTCTCCATTTAGTCTGCTCACCATTAAACCCCCCTCTCTATTATTATCCCCCTCTTTATTAAGGCCCCTATCTGTATTAAGCCTCCTCTCTATTAAGCTCCCTCTCTGTTTAGTCCCTTCTCTGTTTAGCCTCTCTCTATTAAGCCCCATCTCTATTAAGCCCCCTTTCTCTACCAAACCCCTTCTCTATTAAGCCCCCTCTCTGTTAAGCCCCCTTTCTATTTACTCCCTTACTATTAAGTCCCTTCTCTATTAAGACCCCTCTCTATTAAGCCCCTTCCCCATTAAGCCTCTTCTCTATTAAGCCCCCCCCCCCCCCC